TATTTTATATTTCTTAGACAGTGAGTATTATAATTTAATTTAAAAATCAATTGACTTCTTAACTTAATAAGAACTCATTATGTGAATTTTTTAGGCTGTGAGTATAAAATATATACAAAATATGTGTTTTTTAAATAAATTTGTTCCGAAGCTATGTTAAAAACTATTTATTTTTGTCAGGTCGGTATAAAGTTAAATCGATTTATGATATTTTCACGTTACAAGTACTGAAACTTAATATATATATTTTTTTTTTTAGGCTGTAAGTGGGATTTATTTCTAAAAAGTTTTGCTCCCAATTTTAATTTGTATACTTAATTATATATTATTATTTTATTGATGTTTAACAGGTGGTATGAAATTAAATACTTAATTTGTTAGGTTTCTTTTCGCTAATACAGAAGATAAAAAATTTGTTTACTTTATAATCTAGGAAGTAAGTGTGACTTTGATGCTTTTTTAGAGGCTTTTATATTCATAAAAATTTAGCAATTTACTTTACTTATTTGTTCCTAATTTTTATTTAATTATTAGCCTGTAAGTGTAAAATAGTTTGCACGAGCAATTACCTATTAATAACCTCAATGCGCTATTTAATCTGTATTTCTTTATCCTCGATTAAATAATTTTATTAAAAGGCTGTGAGTATCAGTTGTTTTACATTGCAACTCATTGTTTATTTTAACCTATAACGCTATATTATTTGCCAACAAACTTTAGGTATGTATAAAGGTACACTGTTTTATTCCATAAAGATTTTTTTGACATCAATATTTTGTTCTATTAAATTTGTAGGGAGTAAGCTTAGTAAAAATTTATTATTTTCAACAAGAGAATTTACAGTTGTGCAATTTCGTTAACATTTGTTTATAATAAATAAATTAGCCTGTAAGTACAAAAATTTGTTATGTATAAGATTACTAGTTCATATAATTAAATATAATTGTTCTATTAAACACTAGGGGGTGAGTGTGACGCCACTTTTGTATCAACATTCCGTTTTTTAATTTTAAACAATTCCTACTCTTATCACACCTATATATCGTTAGCTTGTAAGTAGAATTTCTATCCTATGTTCTTTCCGTCTCTTCTGTCTTCCTCCCTATTTTTTGGTAATAACATCTTTAAATTTTTAGGTCGTAAGTATAACACTTATATTTTATGTGAGACAACCGTTTGTTATGAACTAATGTGTGTTCTATCTACATTTTAGCAAGTGAGTAAAATTTTTATTTCATCTTTTTAATAAACGTATTTATTTTATATTAATTTTTATTTTTTTAAACACATCAGCGAGTATGTACAAAGATTTTTTTTTTTCAACTATAAAATATCACTATTATATTTACCTACATCATCCTTAAAATTTAGCTGGTTTGTATAAATATAGTAGCCTTTTTATTGTCAGTTTTCTGATTATAACTTACTGCATTCTATCATATTATAAGCTCGTAAGTATATGTATACTTTTAAAATGAAATTATTCGAAGAATTCAATTTACTGTCTCTTTATTTTAACATATTGTAATAACATTTAATCAATTTATCTTGTAAATAATAAGTCGGTACGTACAATTTTTATACGCTGACTTGCAATTTTTACAAACGATTAATGGAAAAAAATTTTTTTAATTAAACTAGCCTGTAAGTAAATGTTGTCATACATTGTTATAATTAATTTTATTTACTAACTTTGTGCTTATATGGTTACAAATAATTTATAGTCGGTAAATACAGTAATAGACCTAATGTATTTTTTCGAATTTTCTTTCAAAGTATTGATCGATTTAACTTTTTTTTTTTTATTTACTGTAGTATGTAAGTAAATCCTGCTTTATGGAATAACTGATTTTCTAACAGCGTTATACTCTCCTAATGGCGTATCAAATTTTTAAATCCAGCAAGTATGTAGAATATCATTATTATATTATTATTATATAACAATACTTTGTGATTATTATTTACTATTTTAAATTTAGATGGTATGTTTTTTCTATCAATTAACGTTGCTTAATGTGATTTTAAATATTTACATGAGTTTCTATTAGGCAAGTATTTGTGTTGTTTATTTAAAATGAAATACAGTATCTTAATAGTGAATGTGATCATTGTGATTATTGTTTAAACAGCTTGTGAGTATATATTAGATTCTTTGGTTTTAGCGCTAATGTATTACTTATATACTTAATATGGTTCGCTATTATTATTATTTATTAATATTTAGGCAGTGAGTATAAGATCTTATTTTATTTTTCTTAAGTTGATTTTTCATAATTAAATTATATTTTAAATAAATTTTTAGGTTGTATGTATGAATTTAATTAATTGGTTAATCATTTAAGAAAATACATTAATGTATATTGAATGTAATCATTAAAACTAGCCTGTGAGTATAGTACAACATTTAATCATCTATGGAATAATTTTTGCATTTATTTATTTTCACATTTTATTGAAATTAATTACTAGACCGTAAGTATAATCGTAACTGTATTAATTTAGTAGAAATAATCTCACGATTTCCTGCTTAAAATATTTTATGTTAGAAAGTTTGTATGAGATTTACTTTAATTTATTGTACTTTTAAATGTTATTTTTTACTAACTTTGTCTTAATTAACTGTTAGCTTGTAAGTAGCATTGGTTTGCATTGATTCTTTATTTCCTTTTTGAATAACCTTCAATAATTGACCTTTAATGAATTTCGGTAGCTGGTGAGGTGTTATTTCATGTTAGAAATTTAATTGTCATTTTATTGTTATATTTAATTCTTTTTTTTATATTATTAGAAAGTAAGTTTAAATTTTATTTGTTCTGGAATGATACTTTTATTAAATTTGTTAACATTTTTATATACATACACTTTATAAACTTAGCTGGTAAACAATAGTTTATTTTTGTGTTTTGTCAATCAAATTAATGCTGTATCTATATATTGCTTACTGTATATGGTTGGTGACGTATTTTCGCTAATTATAGGCTGTAAGTATAGGTTTTGTTTTCTAAAACAATTTATGTTTCCATTCTCAACTTAACAATTTTCAAAATTTTAGATGGTGAGCATATTATTGATTCATGAAGGCAACTTAATTTGATTTGTACATACCTTACAATTCCTAACATATGTTATCTATCTATTTCCAGGATGTAGGTTATTTTTATGATTATGTTGGGATTTCCGTTATACTTTTTATTTCTAACTAATGTCGATAACATAACCTTAAATAATTGTTAATGACGCAATAGCCCGTGAGTGATACAGTTGTTTAGTAATACTTTTTTAAAATATCTTGACTCTAAAATATTTTTCTTATTTATTTAACAGTCGGTAAGCCTAATGTTAGGTATCTATATTACTGCACAATGATCTTATTTAAATAATTTACCGTCCTTCTTTCTTTTCATCAAATTATTATTTAGGATGCAAGTATTGGTTTAATGTGTTTTCTTACTTATTCTTATGATAATTTAATAATCCTGCGTATTTCTTAACATACTATATATCCATCAGTTAGTAAGTATATAGCATCATTCATTTTTTAAATTATTATTTGTAATGTGTCATTAACTTCTATGTTTTTGTAAAATTATTAGAGAGTGAGTGAAAAACTATATTACATAACTATTTTTTTAGCGCCTCCTCATTAATCTATAATTTTTGGTTAATCATCAGATCGTAAGTTTGTGTTTGCATATAATACTTTTTCTTTATGAATATCTTAAAACTTATCAATATTGGTAATAATAATTTACTAGTCGGTAAGCATTTTTATAAAGATTGACAATATTTAACTATTGATTCATCAAATAATATGATTTTTTAACGGGATATTATTTTTATTACCAGGATGTAGGTATAAACATCGATGTAACGAACGTGTTTATAAATTTAATTAAAAACATTTTACTCTTATGACGTAACTCTGCTTTTATGGATGCTTTTACTGACATTAGGCAGTAAGTATTTATTCGTTTCTAAAATTAGCTTGAGTATACAGTATCTAAAATTCTTCTCTATTGTTAATTATTACTCACGTATTGTAAATTTAATAGCTGGTAAGAACATTATATGCTATATTCGCATTTTTATCTAAACATCGTATAAAACGGATAATCTTTCCATCTTTGAATATTCTTTAGCGGGTGAGTTTTATTTACTTTTTTCTATTTTATAAGTTTTTAATTTGCTAAATTTCTCTATAAATCACATTACTGCCACGTACTATCTATTATAAATTATTTAATCAATTAATAGGTTGTAAGTAAAATTTTGGCGTGTCATGCGAGCATTGTTTGCTTTTTAACAAAACGCTTTTCCTTTGATTTTTCATTATTTTATGTTAGACTGTAAGTAAAAAAAACATGCTATACTGCTGTAATATTATAATGTCTTTAATAAGATTTTCTAATTGTTATATACATGAATATGTCTGTTAAATTAATAGGTGAGCATCTAGTAAATTTGATTTTTTTTTCTTTTATTGTTGCATATTAACTCTATTGAATTATTTGCTAGATGGTGCGTACAATATTTAAATTTCATATGTATTGAGAAATTAACTCACATTATATATATACCATATACTGTATATATATTTCTATATATCAGGTGAGCATTAAAAATATTACGCTCTCATATATATATTTTTAACCAATTGTTTTTTAACCCTATTTATTATTATTATTTATACTTATCAGTTGGTAAGTACCACGATTAACTTTATTATATACTGTATAAATGTTATAATGATTGTTGGTAAATAAATATTACGCTTACATGATTCTCTTTGTCTAAAATTTTTTAGCTAGTGAGTACTCAAATTTAATTGCTGTATTTTTTTCATTAATCACCTTGTTAATACGTACTTTTTCTCGTAATATTATGTAGCTGGTTAGTATATTTAGATGTCTCTTTGTCTTTCAATTGATTAATATAATCTTACAAAAATTGTTAGGAAGTAAGTTCTATATTTTTGCATAATAATTTTCATTTTTAATAATATGTATTATGGTCGTTCCTTAGCATAGTTATTCTTTTTAATATTTCGAAATTAATCATTACAGAATCTCATCCGGATCCAACAACTTCCTCTGATGGACCTGCGGGAAAAAGTATGGCTTCATTAATTTTGTTAACCTTAAATCTTATTTTTTATCTTATTATATTAATTTATTTATAGGTATTAATCTGCATCATATTACTCGGCGATTAAGAATTTTATGCGCTTAAATAGTACCAATTACTAATTATTATTTAAAATTTTCAGCAATCATAACTGCGTTGATTGTAGTCTCGGTCATTGGTTTTATTTTACTTATCATGGTTTCTGCAGGACTATTTATATATTGTAAAAAGAATGGAACCATACTTCGTGTTCCTGGTGAAACTTCTGAGTAGAGATTTATGCTTATTGAATTTAGTCAGTCAACAAGATTCATTAATCTTTTGGCTAAGCAAGAAATTACGATAAATCTCTATAATAAAGTTTGATTTAATTTAAATAAAGAAAAAAATCGATGTGTGACAAATTATAAAATTAGAATACCAGATATTATAAAAAAATATGAAAGTAATTTTAGTAATATTGTAATCAGAAACCTGAATTCTTGCAACTACTTAATAACCAACCCATTTAATTTTATTTTTAAATAAATTAATAAATGTACATAATTTAAATTTTAATAATAATTTTTAATAGTGTAAAAGATGGTAATTATACTATAACTGTCTATAGATATTTTATGTTTACGGAATTTAATGAATTTTGGATTCTATTAGTAGTATTTCCAAGAGAGAAAAAACATATAAGCAATAATTATATTAATTAATAAAATAAATAAGACTTCTTATCTAACTTTTATATAAACTCACAATCCCAACTGATATGGTAAACTCCATAGAATAAAAAACACTTTAGCTTAAGGCTGACCATTAAAATCAGCATTCAGAACCCACTTAGCATTCTGTCTTACCTGAATACCAACACGGTAATAAATATTAAACAAATTCTCAATACTGATCAGCTCTTTCTTAGTATAGATTTAGTAGTCAAAGATCAATATACAATAGTAAAGGCAGACAGCTCAATTTTAACATTATACTCTGAATATAAACAATCTATAAGCATTCTTCTAGCTTTTATAGAATACTTACAGCAGTCAAAAAAAATATTTATATTATAGTTAATACTTCACAAGCTTCTACTTTATTTAAATAAAACTCATAAATTGAAAAGTCAAAGGACATATAGTTATCTAATAAATTGTATTATCATATTGCATAATACAATAGAAATTAGACTACAACCAAACAAACTTAAGTGCATTTCTAATCTTCAAGAAAACAATTTACTTATATGTATAAACAACCTAATAGAAATCAACAAATATATCACAAACCCAAAAATCAAAGATGATTGAAGTTATAGTATGATAACCTGAATTAAAAGAATATAGCAATTCATAAATTTACAAGCATCATTAATAACACGTTAATCAATTCCAGATGAAATCAAACAATACAATTAGAAATACTACTTCATTTTATATTAGCAAACAATTTACTAATTAAAAAAGACAAATACAACCCCTTATCACTTTTTACTTTAGAAACAAAATTCTCAACAGTACTCTTCTATTAAAGAAATTCTTACATAAGAGATACTTTAATATATATCAGAATAATCTTTGTCTGAGATGTCTAATAACAGCAGAAACACAAGATCATATATTTAAATGTTATAAAAACAAAAAAGCATACACACAAATCAAGATCAAACTTAACTTCAAACTTATTAAATTTGCAAAAAAAGATAAATCTATTTCTCAACAACACTTAACTCTTATCTTCAATAGAAAGTTTCAAATTGAAAAGCTTGTATATGATACAACAGATTTAAAAGTCTAATTCTAACAAAAAACTTGCCAAGCTAATAAAAATAGTAATAAAACTTCTATACATTTTCATATGGCTATCAAGATCAGCAACTGCAAATACTTCAATAGTCTTATAAATCAAATGGATCAAATCTCAAGCAAGCAATATAAAGAAAGATAAAAATTAACATTATATATTACACAAGATCAAAGCTTATTTCTTTAAATTATAATCTTAATAGATGAACAGTATACTAAATCAAACAATTTACTTAAATAATAAAATTTCACTTAAACTCTGGAAAAATATTAACCATTCAGCATTAAAGCTAATTTAAATTATATCAAATATAATAAAAATGACAATAATTAGCATAATAGATAGGTTAACATTAACTTACATTATATTTCATGTAAAGATATTTGATATAATTCATATATTAATATACAGGGTTATTTATAATTTTTTGGAATTTTTTGGAATTTATATTTTATCTTATAATTAAATAAAAAAATCATTACAATTTTATAAAATTTTATTTAAATATATTTAAAACCTAAGAAAAAAATGGCATAAATTTTATTAAAAAATATTTATTTTTTAAGATTTTAGATGATACATGAAAATTTAGAAAAAAGTTTTTTGGAACTGTTATAAACAAATAAGTTTTCATAATATAATAAAAAAAATATGAATTTTTTTTATGTTTTAAAAATATTTTTTATATTAAATTTTATATATTCAAAAAATCAATATATTTTATATTCAAAAAATATTTAAAAAATTTTATTAAGTCATTTTATAAGATAAGCTTAAATAAACTTGTTTTTTTAGATTATAAACAAGCAGTTCATAAAATTTTATTTAAATTAAATAAATTTTCATTGTATAATGAACTAAAACAGTTTTTAAAATATTATGTTTTTTTATAAAAATTTAACAAATTGTACTATATTTTTATAATAACTTATATATATTGTTGGGCCGGAAAACGGCGAGTCAGTCGCTTCACCGGTCCAAAGTTCGCGTTACTAAAGGTAAGTTGAGGCGTGTATGATTGATTT